ATTGAAAAGAACCAGCTGAGGAGGTCCAGGCATCTCACTGGGATGCCTCCCTGTGCCACCTGGGAGAGGTGCTCTGAGGCATGTCCTACTCTGAGGAGGGCATAGACCAAGGACACACTGGAGAGATTAGATCTTTCTAGGCTGGCCTGGAAATCCCCTGGATGAGCTGCAGTAGGTGGCTTGGGAAGAGGAGGCCTGGGTTTCTCTGCTTAGATGCTCCCCCCGTGACCCGGACCTGGACAAGTCACAAAATTGTACAAGGAAGTTATTGATACTGCTCAAAAAATGTAAAAACACCTCTGAATCAGAGTATAGCATGAAGTCAATGAACTTCAGGAATAGTACTCTGCTAGTTAAGTAGCAGAGGGGATTGTTGACCAGGTTTAGCTACTTTGGTGTTAACAAACTTCACAACAGGTGCACTAGAGAGGCAACAATGAGACAACCCCAAAAAAGGAAATGGTTTTACATGCTACTAACATTGCTGCCCTCCTTATCTTTCCGAGTGTTTTTCACTATTTTTGCATTTAGTTTGTCACGGTTCTGGGTCAGTTTGACCCAGTATTTTGAGTTGTCATGTTTTTGCAGGTTTAGTTTAGTTCCATGTGTCATTTTCTGTCTGTCTCTGTGTCGTGTCTGCATCTTTGTTTAGTGGTTTCTTGTTCCTGTTTTATTGTGAAGGTCTGCGTCTCATGTGAGTGTGTTCAGTTTTACCTCTTGTCTCGTCTCGTTGATTACTCCCAGCTGTGCCCCCACCTGTGTGTAATCTCCCTGTGTTTCTCTGTGTGCATTAAAGTCTTTGTAGTTGGTGGTCTGTCTGTGTATTCCACCATGTTTCATCCATGTGTTCCCTGCCGTCACCATCTTGTACCGTCGTCCACCTTGCTTCATGTTTGAGTTCCGGTTTGTATTCAGTAGTTTAGTTGTCTCCAGTATAGTTTAGTGTGATCTCTGTTTCCATTTTTCCACTGGCGCATTGTGTTCAATAAACCACCTTCACTCCTCCACTTCTGCATGCGATTGAATCCTCATTTATTATTTTCATATGGCTCATCTCACTCGTCGTGACAGTACGGAATAGCCAGATATGGATCCAGCGGCAGTCACACCACCCAGGGAGCTTCAGGAGGCCGTTATCGACTCTGCTTCTAAATTAATTTACCAGTGGTTAGAGCATGAGGGAGAAGCCCCTCTTTACACTGTGGAAGCCAACCTACAACACCTCATTTCCGGTTATCCCTGGTTATTGGACTCTCTGCATCCGCTCGTGCAGAATTTCGTTCTCCACGAGCTTCACCTACGCCCCCCTGCTACCGCTCGCCTGCTCGCTTCAATGGAGGACGTGCCGTCCGAACCGCTGGACGAAGGATTACCCGGCCTGTCGGAGCCGTCTCCAAGAAAGAAGCGACGTTTGCGCTGTCGGCGTGGCACCCCACATGTAAACAATCGGCTGTGGTGAGTGAAAGGGACGCTTTTTCTGCTGCGTCAGACTCTGTGACTGTGTTTTCTGGAGCTATTTTTTGTGTGTCTTCTGAAGATAACAATAATTTTTCTGTCTCACCCATGGCCACTGCTTCAAAGTCTGTTTCTCCTGAGCCCACGCTCTGTGTTAATGACTGTTTCCATTCTGTTTCCAAGCCTGGTATTATGAATTTAGAGAATGGAAATGTTTGGGACCCTTTTTTTACCTGCGCTGATTCATTCAGGGGAAGTTGTAAACCTCACCGAAACAGTTTTTCCTGATCATGTTCTTCCATCCACACTTTCACCACAGTTTAACGTTGGGTCTGCAATTCAGTTAACCGCAGTTCAGTCAGCCGCTCCACCACCTGTTACAACTTCGCTACCTGAAGCTCAGTTGCCACCAGTTCAGCAGCCTACCCACTCTTTCATTCAGCCTCCATCTTCACTGTCTAATTCTAAGCAGGGAACACACTTCACCACAATATCTGCTGGTTCTCTTAAGCTGGCCATGTCAGAGACAGTTGCTCCCTCTAGGGCCTCCCCAGAGGCTGGGTGTCAGTCACCAGCCAACTCTGGACCCCTAGAGGTCAAGACGCCAGCGCCAGCAGCCTCACTGGAGAACTCACCAGAACAGTCTCGGCTCTCAGCACCCCCTGAGAGTTCAAGTGAGTTCATCCGTCCGCCTCCGTCCTCTGCTGAGTGTATTGGGGAACACTTTCAGCCCTCTGAGGACTGCATCCCACTGTTGCTGCCTGAGTCTAGCCACTGTGCAGCTCAGTCCCAGCCAGTGTCCACACTGGCAGAGGTCTGCGTACTGGCTGCTTCAGTGTCTGTTTCCACTGGAGGGCCCGAGGAGCCCGTCCAGTCTCAAGCCACGTTAGCTGGGGGTTCAGGTGAACCCAGCCAGCGTCCTGCCTCGTCGGCTGGAGGGCCTGAGGAGCCCATCCTGCCTCAAGTGTCGTCAGCTGGGGTTCGGGAGAACCCAGCCAGCCTCGAGTGTCGTCTGCTGGAGGGCCCGAGACGCCTGTCCAGCTTTAAGCCAAGTAAGCTGGTGGGTCTGAGGAGCCCACCCAGCACCACGCCTCGTCTGCTGGGGGTCCTAGAGGACCCAGCAAGCACATCCTCACATCTGCTGACGGTCCGGGGAAGTTTGTTCAGCCACCACCTGCTGAATCATCCCCTGTGATTTCTACACCGTTGCCTGCATCCACATCACCTCCTGCAGCATCACCTACTGCAGCATCACCACTGTCAGGTTCCGCAGCCGTGCCTTCATCCACACCTGGTCCTGCCTCCGTGACACCGTCTTCGTCTGGTCCTGCCTCGTCTTCGTCCTCGTCTGGTCCTGCCTCGTCTGGTCCTGCCTCATCTGGTCCGGCGGTTGCCACACCGACGTCAGAGCCAACTCGACCCGTTCCGCCTCTCCTCTGCCGGCCATTTTCCGGGCCTCTAAGTTAGCATCATGGCCTTCGGGGACGGCCTCCTGAAAAAGTTTGTCGCCGCCGCTGGCATCGTGGCCGACCTCCGGACCTGCTCAGTGGCCGCCACTGCCTTCCAAGTGGTCGGCCTCCTGATTGGTTTTGCCTGCGGCGCCGCCGTTGCCGTGTGCACGGCCGGCCTCCAGAACTGTCTTGGTCTTTGTGTTGTCGACCCCTGGGTCGACCCCCTGAACTTTTCTCGGACTCTTGTTGAACTCTAATTTTACAGCATTGACAGGAAGAGGGAGCAGACAGCCCCTCCTTCTAGAGTGGGTGTTGGGTGTATCTTGGCGGTAGCCAACTAGGTGTTGTCTCCACAGTCAGCCTGGTATCATGCGGGTCAGCAGAGCAGTTACTCCATTACAGTGTGGTACCTGGATCTTGCGGGATCCCTTTGTGTCAGTCTTGTGTCTTTCAGACTGATAGCTCCTCTGCTTCTTAGGGTTGGCCTTCATTTCTGGCAGGGTGCTGACCTGGTGGGCATGTGCTTAAGGTATTGGACCGCACCGTCTCCCCATGCGCTGTTTTACATATGGAATATGTAAATGAGCGGACAGATAGTCTTGATGTGATAGAAAGCATGCTGTTATTTTGCAACCTTGGTTCTCTGAGTGAGAAACTCTCTCCCCAACTTTAAGGACACTTGGAAACACGTCCCAATGACACTATCAGCGATTTCATGTCTGCACAGCTGTTTTATAGTTAAGCTGTGAGGTGTGGCAGTACTGTCTTGAAGAATTTTATACAACCTGACTAATAGGGGGTCATTCTCCTGTACATGCGGGATATGTAACAGAGCAGAAGAGAACCGAGGTTACACAGTAACCGTTCATATCCTGGTTTCTCAGATTCGTTTTGTGTCTTGTGTGAGTTTTTGGTTGTTCTACTTTTGTGTTTACAAGCTACAGTATTAAAGCTGCTGTGTTAGTTGATTTTTTTTTTTTTGGTCTCCAAGTCCTGCATTTGGGTCCTGTCTAGAATTCATCTTAAAATCCTTTTGTTCACTAATAAATGCCCTGTCATGGTGCTCGGTTGGCGACCCAGTGCTTTGAGATTTGTTCTGATTTGATGTTTGATTTTTTTCATTTCATTCATTCTCTATTAGTGTTCAGGTTTTGTTCTCAGGGTCTCTAGGTCTTAGGCTTTCTTCCTCTGTTTAGTGTCTACTTATCCCTGTCCAGGTGCTTTCTCTGTGCTCTGTTTCGTGTCTCTGTGTCTGTGGACTTCCTGTTTTACTTTGAAGGTCTGTGTCTTTTGTCTCGTCGCGTTAATTAGGATCAGCTGTGCCTCCCTCCTGTTTGCCATTCCTTGTTTCCGTGTGTGTATACAGTGCGTGGTTGCCTGTGTTTCCTGGTGTCTCTCTTCGTATCTCTGTTCATCATCCCGTGTTCTTCCCTGCATGTTATGGTTTCAGGTTTGTTCTCTAGTTTTCCCAGTTCAGATCTTTTCTTAGTTCTGTCCTCGCCATCCTCGCTTTTGTTTGTTTTCACCTCCTGTTAATAAAGCTTACTTGCATCATCAGCCAGTGCCTGCATTTTGGGCCCTTCTTAATAACTCCACACGGCTTGCCCTGCGAACCTTGACATGCCCCTTATTGAATACTTAGATCAGCTGATGAGTAGGTGTTCATAGTTCAATGTACCAGACTTGCTGCTACAGGTAATTAGACTTTTACCATTGCAGCTCTGAAACAGAACAACATGTCCTTTAAATATGCTATAAATAAACATTTTTCTTTTCTTTTTAAAATTTATTTGTTCTTTTTTCTTTGTTCAGTTTTTAAATAAAATCATATAATACACTATAATAAACATGACTTGTGCATAATCATTTATGATAAAACACATATGTCAGAGTAGAAACCGCTTCTTAGTCTATTAGTCTTTGTTCTGATGTGTCCGTATCTTTTGCCTGATGGCAGCAGTTTGAAGAGATTATGAGCAGGGTATGAGGAGCCTCCACATATCTATAGTATAATACTCACCATATCTCTTTGTTGTGCTTCCAGTCAGGTCTTCAGGATGGTAGCATGGTATGTGGGCGTGTCTGAGGACAGCAGCAGCAGTGAACAGCAGTCATGGAGATGGAAGGTACTGCTGAGCCAGCCTTTGTGGATGTGGACCAGGGCCTGACTTTAGCCTGTGTCGCCTTCCTCTGCTTACTGCTGATGGCCATGATCATCCGCTGTGCCAAGGTCATAATGGACCCATATAGTGCGATTCCTACCTCCACATGGGAGGAACAGCACTTGGATGACTAACAAACTGAAACACATATATACATATACAAGGGGGTAGTGGTGGTTTTTCATTTCACTAAATGACAGTGTGTGTTTTTTTTCTTCTCTAAAATGTTGAAGCTCCAGAACACATGTACTGTTGTACAATCGAAAATTGTATGAAATCCAGACATAAACATGGAATTTACACATCAGCAAAGATTGAAGGAAATGCTGCTGTTTGAAAAACCATTGTTGGAGTGACACTAATACAACCGATACAATAACCTTGGCTTTTGTGCCTAGGGATGTCTTCCAGAGCCTGAATTCTTGTTTGTGTAATAAACACTATTAGTATTTACAAGTGGACAAAACACTTGACTGACCGCACATTTCCCTTTACAACATTACAGACTGGAGAAAAAAAGCAGACGATGATATAAAGAAGAGGACCCTTTCACAAAAGTGGAAACAAAGAAAAATTCCATATAGTGATAACACATAACTTAAGTAATGTTTAAGAATAATCTAAAGTATCATTTTAGTTTATTGCAAGTTTTATTTCTTGGTGTTTTATTTACAATTCTGGAATGCTGACAAATATGATGGAACGTCTGAAGATATTGGAACAGATTAAATCAAAGTCATCATTTGATGACTGATAATTATATGTAGTCATCAACCACAGTCTATTACAGTTGTCCAAAATATTGTTTTTCCCTGTTTTTGGAACTTTGGTAGAAATTAGCAGTAGATAATCATGAAGCCATGAGGTTAACCTCATGGACACCTGATTGATTTTTTTTAAAAAAAATTTTATTTAAAAAAAGCCTAAAATATAGAGATTTGCCATTACTTTGGAGATAATAATAATAATAATAATAATAATAATAATAATAATACATTTTATTTATTGGCACCTTTCAGACCCTCAAGGTCACCTTACAATGACACGTGAACAATAGCATAAAAACATAAAAAAAAAATATGTATATATAGTAAACATGGTAAATAAAATTTAGACATAAACAGTCATAAAGGCAAGTATAAAAACTGAGCAGGTAAAAATGGACTAAGACAGATCAGGTGTATGCAATTCTAAATAGATGAGTTTTGAGACGTGATTTAAAAGTGGTGAGACAGTGTGTGGTCTCGGGGCAGAACAACTAAAGGCTCTGAAGAGAAATGAAGACAGAAAAAACTAAACAACAGCAGTGTTTGATGGGTTATTTAAGTTGGGCCATGTGCTACCTGGTCCCCAACAGCAAAGGACAAGACACTGAAAACTGACCAAATTTCAGTCAAGAGATCACATGATGTGATGCAGCCACGAGGTTAACCATTAACCCTCTGCGGCCCAGGGCATAATTTGCCGTTTTTTAATACTTTTGATCGTACTTTTATATTTATTTCACCTTAAAAAACTATTTGTCTTGCCTTGTTTGCTATAATTTTTTAGCACAACCTCTCATCAATTTTTCATTTTGCCATTCTGCGTTAACACAACTGATCTAAAATCACACATAAAACATAAAATCAGAGTCGGAAAAAACTCACAAACATGTTTAGCGAATCATTTTCATACTTTTAAATGCAAATATAAATCGCACATTTTTAAAACGTATGCACAAATTTTGCCAACAGCAAAGTAACATGCTGTTTACCTAAAAATGCAGCCAATTTCTCAGGCGCTTTTGTACAACCCTTTAAAACTACTAAATTAAAGAACAATCTGGTTTCACGATAAGATGCCACACAAATTTGACCATTTTTGCCGCTCCAACAAATATTTTCTGCCCACAACAAGACAGAGGAACAGTCCTAGGTCTAAAAACTGACAACAGGTGTATCACTCCTGTTTTCCACCTGGAGACAGCGTTTACAATCTGCCTTCATTAGTGGCTTCATTGTTTTGACGCTCAAAACAAACAAATGACTACACTACACATTAACTACATAAGACAACAATACACACAAACTACACACTCCTAAAACGCTAAATGTGAAAATACGCTATCTCCCTCGCTCGCTCGCTCTCTCTTGCCTGATGTCACTCCCAAAACTTTCCCGTCTTCCTGCCAAATGCCTTGTTTTGCCATATAATTCCAGGGAACGAATACCTAAATAATCATATTTTTGACTACAGGCCCAAAGTTTCTAAGTAAAAAATGTAATTAAATTTTGATTAATTACATGGCAGGTCATGGTTTTAACAAACCTTTTGACCTTTTAGTAAAGTTGTGTTGGTCCCAGGTCTCATTATTACTATTGAAATGATGGCCTACAAAACTGCAAAAATACAAAGTTGTGTTAAGAACATTAGCCATGATCTCTGTTATGTGCTGACAGTATATCGTATGATGTGATTTTGACATATGATGTAATGTTATTTTGGCCATCCACAGTAGACAAATGCAACAGCCCCAGTTACTTAAATATTCAATGCTGTCATCACAAAAGAAAAGGTTAGACCAGCATACTTTAAAATGATTCATTTCTGGACAGAGACAATGGCACTTAACTGATTAAACAAGTTTACTAATAATTTCAAGTACTAGTCAGAACTTAATAACGGACAACAAGATAACATATGAGTGGTTACCAGGCTCTACAGAAAACAAACTGCATTACTGGACCTGTAGGGTCCAAGGTTTTTAAGGTTTTCACCAATACTAACAGATAAATTGCAGCAATTTCAGTCTTCTAAATATGACCCTTGCAAGTTGCCAGACTCATGGAGATGAAAAGCCAAATCACCAGAGTGCCCCTTTATATCACTTATTACACAAATACAACATAACGAGGCCTTTGAATATTACTTTCGCTGTCAGCCACATGTGAAAATTTTATATGTTTTTTTAAATAACTCTGACTTGACAGAATTATAGCTTGTTTTTGATGTAGTGTCTGTGAGGATTAATGCTCAAACAATCTGTAGCCTTTACGACAGCAGTCTTGCTTGATTATGTGCTAATGCATGTTGATGCATAGGATTTCCTCTCCTGGTGGTGAAAGGAATGCACACACCGTGTCCATGCAAAGATAAACTCCAAAGCAGAGATTGAATGTGTCCCGGTTTAGGGCAGTATAGCACTGACACCTTTGCCTGTCTCAGCCACTAGTTTAAAATAAGCTGGGTGTTCTTGTTGCATATGTCTGACTTATATTTGTGCGTAGACTGCATTTATCATGTATGAAATGTAAGATGCATGTTATGAAGTGCCTATGCTCATAATAAACAACAGAGGAGCCATTTAATACAGAGTTCTAGATCAGCTCCTCAAATCCTTTAAAGTCCTTGGACAACTTTTCATTTGGGTTTCAAAATTGTATAGTGTCTTTCTCCACAGACAGCCATGCTCCATCTACCAGAAAACATATCCATACTCTGATACATGCATCAGAGAGCAACCTGGGGGTGGTATCTTGCCCAAGGGTATTTGACATGCAGCCTGGAGCCTCCAGGGACTGAACCACTAACCATCCAATCAGTAGATGACCTGCTCTACCTTGTATCCCAGAGTCTGTGGGCTACACTCTATAGGCATTAACTACTCGTAGAACTGGTCATCTACCACTGAGGGGTTAAGTGTCCAGCTACTACAGTATGTATGTCCAAATATCTTTGGGCAAGATACTGAAGCCGAGTTGCCCTTAATGCATTCATGTGAATGTGTGCGTGCCTTCTAGCAACTACCAAGAAACAAACAGATAGGCAACAAACTAAAAGACAAACACAGATGATCACTGAAAGGATCAGGTGATGCTGCAACATTTTGTGACAACCGATTGGATATTTACTTCATTTCAGTTCAATGTTATTTATATAGCGCTAAATCACAACAACAATTGCCTCAAGGTGTCACGAAGTGGGATGGACTCAAGCGCAGAAAAGGCAGCTAGAATACAGTTCCGTTTATTACTATACAACACCAGGTGCAAATATATACAAGTGAGAGGGCGGGGGGAATCCAGGGCACAGGGAAATCCGGGAAAGGAGCTCTTCACACACGAGGGACTTCACAAAAAACACAGCACATCAGCAGCCCGCACACCAAGGGTTCCAGGGAAACGGAATTCCTGTTTACAGACAACAAGTGATTAATCCAAAGGGTCAGCGACACGAAAAGGAAACAAGAGACTAGTACTCCGGAGCTTACTACTGAGGTTACTCAATAGTCCAGCAACGAGATGTTTCCAACCACTGCCTTAAGTAGTGGATGAATTTAGGCGATGAGCCACAGGTGTGTGATTAACTTCAGGTGCGAGGGCCAGGGGCAGGAGCCCGCAATGAGCTTTGCCCTAGCAAGACACGGCAAGCGTGAGAGAGGTACATGTAAACAAGAAACATATGTAGCCAACCTGAGTCAGCCGGGCAGACACGGGGACCATGACACAAGGTGCTTTATATTGTAAGGTAAAGGTCCTGCAATAATACAAAGAAAACAGATGAAAGGATCATATGACCTCCATGAGCAAGAGTTTTGGTGATAGTGAGAAGGAAAAAAACTCCCTTTTAACAGGAAGAAACCTCCAGCAGAACCAGGCTCAGGGAGGGTTATCTGCCACGACTAGTTGGGGGTGAGGGGAGGAAGGCAGGACAAAGACACATGTCGAAGACAGCCCGAGATAACATCAAATAATTGAATGCAGAGAGGCCTATTAACACATAGTAAGTGAGAAACGTGACTGAAGAAGACACATTCAATGCATCATGGGAATCCCCCAGCAGCTTACATCTATTGCAGCATAACTAAGGGAGGATTCAGGGTCACCTGGTCCAAACAAAACTAAATGCTTTATCAAAAAGGAAAGCTTTAAGCCTAATCTTACAAAGAGCGTCTGTCTCCCGATTCCAAACTATCAGCTGGTTCCAGAAGAAGAGAGGCCTGAAAACTGAAGGCTTAATATGTGCGTTGAAGGACATGTCCTGGTCAAAAATGACTCCAAGGTTCCTCACAGCGTTACTGGAGGCTGAGGTAATGCCATCCAGAGTAAGAGTCTGGTTAGATACCATATTTCTAAGGTTTTTATGGCCGAGCACAATAACCACAGTTTTAACTAAATTTAGAAGCATAAAATTAGAGATAATCCAGGTCTTTGAGTCTTTAAGACATTCCTGCAGTTTAACTACTTGGTGTGTGTTATCGGACTTCAAGTTCAACCTACAACAGGAGCTGCTAGTGATCTTCTACGCTGCCAT